TTCAGTTCAGAAATGGCGATGTCTTTTTGGATGCAAAGCTGGTACATGCAAAGCTAAAAGCATGATGTATGTATAGACCTACACTCCATCAGACAGCATAGTGTGATCAACCTCCAATTCATCATGCATATCGACTGAGTACAATGGCTGAAGTGTGGGTGTGAGCATGTCAAGCCGTGAACTTATGTATGACCCATTAGTTCCAATAATGGCAACGAGCACGTGGGAGGTATGAGCAACATAATTGAACATTTTATTCAGAAATCTGCTGACTACATGGTTGGCGCAACCTTAACTACAGCATTATTTGGGGACCGTGATGTAAAACGGCAGAAATGGGGAGGCAGTGACTTTTGTAACTGGGGGCCAAGCCCCCTCCTCCCAACTTTTTGCAGGCGGGTCCTGTAATCGTGGTAATGCATAATGGGGTTGGGCTTAATGAATCCACCTTGGCTGATGTCCCCCCCACCCCACACTTTGAAAAAAGTTCCGCTGCCGAAGGGAGCCATGCAGAGAGTAGGCTAACTTGGTTGGCATGGTCGGGGCATTGAGGTATTCTACCTCCATGGTTTGATCATGCTCATGACAAGCATGACATCTTATTCCCAGAGAGTTCAGCTGTCATTGCAACATGTAACATTTAAGAACTCACCTTCGATCCAAGTTTGGCGATAATATAAGATGCAGCTGGATTGTACGTTGATTACACTTTACAAAGAAGTTGTAGCCGTCTAGTGCCAAACAAGTTGATGACTTGGCCTGTAGGACTACTGTACGTACGTATGATGAACCCTCTGCAAGCGCCAGCGCGCCAAACACGTTTGTTTATGTAATTCACGCATATCGACAACGCGTCGACGTAATACTTGAGAAGCGCCGCGCCCTCTGTTGTCGTAGTTAATATTTGTCAACCACGTTCTTGGTTGTGCGAACCCAAAACGAAACGCCCATAGAGAGTCCTTCAGTTCCGCTGCCAACGTAGTTGAACTCTGCAACAAGGATGATACGTTGCATGTACTAGTACTTTCCGCAAATTCCTTCGGGAAGTGGAGGCCACTGGATGGAGGGGTAGACTTGCATGTTGACAAAAACGTCAAAATAGTCTTGAACGGAGGGTTGAATTTACTTGTAAAGAGATAAACAATTTAATCTTTTCAATAAACAATACGCTGAAAATGCTTTTGTTTGTAACATGTGACGCACTGTAGCCGAATATACAGGTTGGAATTTTTGTTTACAGTTGTCAAGCCGCCATTTTTCGTCAGGTCTGCTTGGTTGCTTCGGGTTGCCCAGATATCGGACAAGTTTTAATTTTAAGAATTTAAACGAGTGAGTAGCCTAAGAAATTATACCATATATATGACATAGCCTACACGACATATTTGCCTCGACTAGGCCTAGGCCTACAGTCATCATGGTCATGACTTTGGTCCGTGTATTTTCATGCATGGTCAAGTTGGACTAAACAGGGCCCAACATATACTCTGTCATATACTGCCGGGGCCCAGTCCCGAGTGATAGTGACTTCTTTTGAAAAAGTTTATCTGGGATGTGTGGAGGCATAATCAGACATTTGCTGGATTTTATGAGCTGAAATTGCACTGGTATGTTCACTGCTTACAGAGTAAACTATCCCCTAGGATGCTAATTGCAGAAAACTTGCCTTTTCCTAGTTTCGAGGTAAAAAGATTGCCATACGCAGTCATTTTAGGTGGCGTAAGTTGCACCAAACGAAGCGAAAATGAACGATTTGACTAGCTTATTGGGTGCGGTTAAGCCTCATCTTTGCTGAACTTAACAAGGCTTATACGAGAAATGAACAACTTTGTTGTACAAGGTAATAATAGATTTTGGCTGTGAGAAAACTGTGAGACTTTTTGTCCGGTTCTGACGAAGAAAAAACAAAAACTTTTCCAAAATGGCAGACGGAGGTGATTCAATGACTGATGACTGCTGTTGTATTGGAAAGGAACAGCCGTCGTAAAAGCTGTTTTTGTCCTTGTTCAAGAAATTCATATTAAAATGTGGTGCATCTACACAACTTTTTGGGAAATCGAACATAAGCATATTGCGCAGCTACGGCATAAATTGGTGGCGCAAGGCTTACGCATGGTATAAAAGTTATGCCACGTTAAGTGAAATTGGCTGCAGGTCTACAAATACTGTGCCCGTCTGTGACTATCCTCGCTGGTAGTCCAAGCAGGCCAAGTTGGCTCTGCCAATCTCCTCTTTCAAGTTTCATTGTCTTTGGTCGAGTGACCATATAAGAGGCAAGGACTAGGTCTTTGGACAGTCAGACAACACTGTCCAAAGTATTCATACGGTAATTTTTCTGTTCCTGTGATTTCTTTGTCACGTTTCTCATATCAAGCAGTGAGAATGGGTAAATTAAAAATAACTGATAAACATGATATACGCATAAACATACTGTAGATATAGGAAATTGAAGGTGTGTTTTTTTTAATGTAAGGTGGCACAAGGGCTGCGGCCTATTTTTAAATGATAACATTGGAGAACTGTATGGGTCTGATATGAAACTCTTGTTTTGAACATTTGAGTTTACGATAGAAACATGTACATGTATTTGTCTGAAGTCCCTATTGTTTGTACCCCATCAGTTAACCTGAGATGCCACTTGACGGCGATACCTGATCTGTTCACCAGTAGTCATGGCCGAGGACATTGATAGGTTTATACAGGAGCAGAAGAGTAAGCTTGCTCGAGAGCGCAATGAATTACAACAGGAGAGCGCTCGGAAGGTGAGGCCAGGAATAGCGACAAAAACTTCCCGTTAGGATTTGCCATTAGTTTGCCTCAGTAACTAGCCTCTGCTGCAGACAAGGCCCATTTCAGACCCAGTTAAAAATACAACATAAATCCTTTTTTTACCAGGTAATGGAACCATCTTCTACAAACTATGCAGCAGACAACAACGGATTCAAAGAAAACATTCCACCAACCGATAAAGGTAGTACAGTTTACTTACGAGGAGTGTTAGTTTTTGCTATTGTTAAGAAACATTTACACCATTGTTTATTGTAATGTGTTGATAAAAGGTACTGTAAAAGACCGCCTCCCTCAAAATGAGTCTTAAGGTCATTTTGGAGTCCCTTTGTTCCAGTTTGCATTGGAAGGAGGAAACTTCGCTTGCTTTGATGCATCACTCAGTCTGGGCATCCTTATAAAAAGGATTCATGTTAATATGTGGATGGAAAATGTTGAGAATTCGTATTTCAGTTACATAAGGTGAAATGTTCTTGAAAGCCTTTAGCTTGAAAGTAGCTGTGGTGATTTCACTTAGTTTCTTCGGTTGGGTCACATGTATTTATGAATGTACAATGACGGTTCTGGCCAAAGTTTGTATCTTGTGCAACTAGGGCCTATATGCTGTGTGTGTGGAAAAAAGCTCTCCTTTTCGCCAAGTGTTGATTTCTCTTTGGTTTGCACACTCCAATAATTTAATCCATGCCACTAGGTTGGATTAATTGTTTCTTACAATTCAAAGGTGTCGCTCTGGAAACAAGCAAAGCTTTCCCGTTAGATAACCGTGACGACTTGAGGTCTAAGCTGGCCAAAGAACGACAGGAGGAGTACCAGAAATTCTTAGCAGAGGTGA